ATGGAAGACATATTACAGAAATTGAGATGATTTTGACTGTTTTACAAAGAAAGGTGCCTTGAAATTGAGCTCAAAGTAGCAGAAATGTTCGATTTTTACCAAACTTCAAAAGTAAACAAATCGTGCCAAGCGTGCAATACACGTCAACTGGTGAGTCTAATATTCTTTCACAAGTACACCAATAATATTTATACCATTTTTTACACTAATGCAGTAGTCTGCATAACAGTAAATCTTATATTTTTTGTGAAAATAAAAATTCAAAGTGGAAAGCAAAAGAATATAAGAGAGGCCTTGAGACATGACTAATGACTAGAGGAAATGTCATTTTAGTGCCAGGAATGTCTTTCTTGTTTATTCTGGACCCTATTCGGAAATTGGCATCTTTTGAAATTTGTGTGAAATTGGCAAAATTGCTAAATTCTGACCACTGTACTGGATAGTTGAATTTCATAAATGAGTGGTTTCTTGCACCCATTCGATAGAAAAAATGGAGTTCTAGCGAAATATTCATGTTTTTTGTCGACTAGTACAGTGAAATTGGCCGAAAATGGGGCTCAAAGTGGGCAAAATCGCCGATGCGTAAACATCGCCGAGACCGCTAACTTTGCGAGAGCATAATTCCGTAAGTTTTCTATCAAATTTCAAACTTTTGGTGTCTTTATGATCGGGAAAAGATTCTCTATCTTTTCATAAGAGAAAATAATTTTTTTTTTTTTTTTAAATTTGGCCGACCCTGAGAACGAGTTTCGGAGAGGGCCTGTCGACCCTCAAAGGGTTAATAAAATTAACCAACTTGACTTACACAGTTCATTGAACATCGGCAAAAATCAAACATTTCCGCTACTTTGAGCTCAATCTCAAGGTACTTTTCGTTATGAAAGCAATCAGAATCATGTCTATTTCTGTAATATATCTTCCATTCTATCAAATGAGTCCAAAAAATGAGAATACAACCATAAAACCATACGAAAATATACTGCAAAGAGGCGGCTAATGGCTGAGAAGTGAACTCCCTTATTTATCGTCCGTCTTTTTTATTTTTGTTGTACGTTAAGAAGCATCTTTCCATCATACATTGCCCAAGTTTCAATGAGATAGCCCAATAAACAACCGAGAAAAAAAAATATTTACCAAATATCATATATGGCAAGCCCAGGCCAGGTACTGGAAATAAGTCAGTGTCTGACTTTTCTGGGTTAACTCAGGTTCTCTATACATTCACTGCTATGTATGATAATCTATGTAACTGTATTTGTGTATACCTGAATAAACTTATTTACTTCTAGTCTGTTGACTGAGTACAAGAAACCGCCCATTCACTTATTTCAACTACCCAATAAAGTGGTCAGAAATTGGCAATTTGGCCGATTTCACACAAATTTCAACATGCCAATTTCAAAATAGGGTCCAGAATAAACAATGTAGACATTCCTAGCACTAAAATAACATTTTCTCTGTTCATTAGTCATGGTTACAGGCCCCTCTTATATTACTCTTGCTTACCATTTGGAATTTTTATTCACAAAAAAATAAAAGATTTACTGTTATGCAGACTACTGCATTATTGTAATAATTGTATAAATAATGTCAATCCATTCTTGACTCCGTACTAGAATTTGGACTGGCAGGCGGACAGGTATTGGACGGTAACGTCATTTGTTTACTCTTGAGCTTTGCTAAAGAATAGAACATTTTCGCTACTGTGAGCGCAATTTCAAGGTACTTTTCATCATGAAAGCAATCAAAATCATATCTATTTCTGTAATATATCTTTCATTCTATCAAATGAGACCGAAAAAATGAGAATATAACCATAACAACCATACAAAAATATACCACTATGTGGCCGCTAATGGCTGAGAAGTGAACTCCACTATTTATGGTCTGATTTCTTTCATTTTTGGTGTACGTGAAGAAGTATCTTTCCATCATACATTGCCCAAGTTTGAATAAGATAACCCAACAAACAACTGAGAAAATAATATAATAATAATAATAATAATAATAATACTGTAATAATAATTATAATTATAATAATAATAATAATAATAATAATAATAATAATAATAATAATAATAATAATAATAATAATAATATCTTTATTTACTACACGTACATGTAGAAGGTATACAGGCCTAGCTGACATCAGTGACATACTACTGTATAGAAAGCCGCTTGTTATGCAGAGTATTTCAAGCAAATTAGGTCAGTGTCCCAGGATAACACCCACACTAGTTGGCTAACACCCAGGTACCCATTTACTGATGGGTAAACATAGACAACAGATGTAAAGAAACACGCCTAATGTTTCTACCCTGGCTGGAAATCGAATATTTACCAAAAATCATATATGGCTAACCCAAGCCAGGTACTAAAAATAAGCCACGTTGACTTTTTTTTGGGTTATCCTAGGTTCTCTACACATATGCTGCTATGTGCGATAATCTATAGAGAAAATAACTTTTGTTTCATGTTTATGGTGCAGTACGAGTGCATATCACAGTTAGCCCTGTGCTATACTCCGTTTTCTCTAATGTAAGCCACCAAGACAGGGATAGGAGAATGGTATTTGTTTAACATATCCTCTTCATACCTCCGTCGAACTGCTTGGTATTATGCCAAATATTATTCATTCTGGAGTATTTAACATGTTTTATGTTATTTATATTGTTTCTTATGTCATATTAGATCAACTGTGATAGGCAAATAAGCTGTAGTGTTGATATTAGCGTAATAATAAAGCATATTCTCCTGCTTCATGAGACTGCGCTCATAGCAACTGACAGTGGCTTCAAAGCCACCTTATCTTTAATGGATAATGTACTGTGTAGGTGCTTTACATAATGAGAAGTATTTCTTTTATGCATTGGAACCATGGCTAGGGCTAAAAGTAAGCAGGTTAAAACAATAAATGGAGAAAAAGAAATTGGAATGACTTATGCTGCAAATAGCGCCATCAAACAGTAGCAGCAGGTTGGTGTGGTGACCCTGGAAATTTGAAATTATGCTAGCCAAAATTAGTGCCGAATAACTGAAGGAACCGAATAACTGATTGCCGGATTTGTGATGGGGGACCTGTACTGTATCTAGTCAAGTATTATATGAGTTGCATCCTAGTGATCCCAATTTTGAAAATAAATCATAACCTATACTTTTTTTATTAAAAAATGAATAGTATCAACACACTATTATTATTATTATTTTGCTACTTTTTTAACAGAGGCTATTTCCCAAGGTGGCCAGGGACCTGGTAGGCAAAGACCCTCACACGCTGAGGATCCATGGTTCACTTTCCAGCAAGCGTGGAAACACTGGGCATGTTTCCTTACACCTGTTAACCTATCGGTAAAATGGGTATCTGGATGTTAGTCAACTGGTGTGGGTTGCATCCTGGGACAAAATTGGCCTAATTGCCCAAAATGCTCTGCATCACAAGCAGCTTTCTATATACAGTGGACCCCAGGTTTTCGGCCGATGAGGAAATTGTACAATTCGGATTTCAAGCACTTTTATCGGCGAAATTTCCCCCCAGGTTTTGTACATCGGCTCGGAAATGAACGGTACCAGATGCATCCACCTAGGCCACTCGTATGTTCGTGACTTACTCTTGGGCACATTAAATGTCTTATTTTGCATTAATATAGGCATTTTCATTAATCCAATTATGATATTTTCTTCAAAATTATGTAAGAAACACGTTACATAGCATATAAACATGCAATGTTTAAATGCAATGTATGTTTAATAATAATCACTCTTGGGCACATTAAATGTCTTACTTTAGGTTAATATAGACATTTTCATTAATCCATCTATGATATTTTTTCAAAATTATGCTATAAGAAACTTGTTACATAGCATATAAACATGCAATGTTTATATGCTATCAAGGGGTGGGGTCAGGTAGAGGGTAAACATTATATTTTCTCTGGTCCAGCTTCAGAGAAAATGTGTATGAATCTGCGTTGGCTCGGTAACCGCCCTTAATAGTACATAAGGCTTTTGTTTACAATTCTCAGCATGAATTATTCACTACTTCTCCCTTTGCTTATGATGGCATCTAAAGGTAGTTGTTAGAAATGATTAAACTCAGTGAACATGGTATGTCAATGGTAATAAAATGGCTGTAGGCCGCAGTGTATGTAGCCGGCAGGTATACACTGGGATGTAGTCCCTCTGGGACTACAAATAAACACTACTCACCAACAAGAGTCTTCAATAAAGGTATGTAATGTTAATTTACCATTAAAATTAGCCATTACTATTTATTTCTCAATGTTTTATGTATGTAAAACTATAGTTATTCTCTATAAAAGGTATTTTTTGTTAATATTGTTGGGTGTCTGAAACAGATTAATTGGATTTACATTATTTCTTAAGGGAAATATTAGTTTGGTTTTCGGCAATTTTGGATTTAGGGAGATCTTCTGGAACGGATTAATTGCGAAAACCGGGGTCTACTGTAGTAGTATGTCACTGATATCAGCTAGGCCTATATACCTTGTACATGTACTTGTAGAAATATATTAATATTATAACTAATATTTTTTTAAAACTAGGGTTTTCCACCAAGGTAGGGCAACTCAAAAAAAAAAATGAAGAAACACTTTCACCATCATTCACTCAAACAATCACTGTCTTGCCAGAAGTGTGCAGACATCACAGTTTAGATGATCCTTCATGCAATTCATATACAGTATACAGCACCTTTCAAATGAGACGTAATTAGGTTTGATCTGAGGCAGAGTGAAACTTTAATTCCTTGAATCAAGAGCCCTTCACCAGTATTATTATTATTATTATAATCAAGGGGGAAGCGCTAAACCCGGAGGATTATACAGCACCTGGGGGGGGATGTGGAAGGCATTCAGGCTTAATTCGGGGAATTGGACCACAGATCCAATTCCCTAAATCAAGAGCCCCTCACCAACATCAAGGAACCTTCCTTGAGGGGTTCACCAGTATTAAAGCACCTCCCATGAAAGGCTAACACTTACCAATAAAAGATCAGAAGTTTGAAGAGCTCGTTTCAGTTTCTCTTGATATAGCTCCTTATAGTAGAGAACAGCATTGTTGATATCCTGACAAACTTTAGTGCTGCGTTCTCGACATGGATCATTTTCTCTATAGATTACCATAGCTTTTTCTAGAAGAGTAAAAGAATTTGATAAGTGGTTTAGGGATAATTGGCGAGGAGCGGGTGTAGTTTCAACATTATCCTCATCATCTATCAATGCTTCTCTCTCTTTTTCAAGCTTCAACAAGTCCTCATTACTAAGTTCTGGTTGATGGGATTCCAACCACTTCACAAGATCAGCTTCTGCAAGATCTTCAAAGCCAACATCTCTGGCAAGGTCCACAATGCTCTTGAGAAGGTCTGAAAATTTCTCCTGGTAATTAGCAAGGTTTTGAACACATTCAGGCCAGAGTTTTGCCCAAACACCGTTCATCGTGGCCAACGTGAGGTCATTCCAAGAATGATAGATGTTTTCAATAGCATTCTTTATGTTGTAATTTTGCCAATATTCTCTCACTGTTGGCTTATTTTCACTGTTCATTTCTCTCTTGAACTGGTTGATAAGTCTTCTTAAATAATATGCCTTAAATGTGGTTTTAACACCCTGATCCATTGGCTGAATCCGAGTCTTTGTATTCTTGGGAAGAAACTCGACCCTGACATGTTGGGAAAGGTCATTCAAATTTCCAGGATGGCACGTGCTGTTATCTAGGATCAGTAATACCTTGTGAGCAATGCTGTTCTGGGCGCAGTATTTTTCAACGGCAGGGCAGAAATACGTGCAAAACCAATCCTGAAAAATACTCGTAGTCACCCAAGCTTTCTTGTTCGAACGCCAAATAACTGGGAGGTTAGGTTTGGCATAACCTTTAAGAGCCTTTGGTGTTTCAGAGTGGTAAACAAGTAAGGGTTTAAGTTTGAAGTTGCCGGCAGCATTGCCGCCCAGTAGAAGAGTTAGGCACTCGTTGGCATAATTACTGCCCAGTGAAGTCATCTCATCTTCCATGAAGGTCGTCCCTGGTATACGTTTCCAGTACAGTCCAGTTTCATCAACATTGAACACCTGCTGTGCTGTGTAGCCATTTTTTTTAATTATTTCCTGCAGAACGCTAGGGTGATCCTCGGCATCACTGCAAACTCTCGTAACACTCTGCCTCTCCAGTCTTGCTAGCCGCCCGATGCTACCATATAAACTCTCCCCTAATGAAACATCCCTCTGATTCTCTGAATCATCAGAATTCACCTCGATAACTCTGCTTCCTACACTACAGCTGGAAGACAACACAGGGGCAGCAGGAGAAGCCTCACCCTGGACCCTTCCTCTAAATCTATAGCCATGAGGACGTATATTAGAGACGGTAGCGGCAGTAAAGTCAAAATTCTCAGTAATTTGTCTTGGCTTCTGGCCAGTATCACACGGCTTCTTCACCTCCACTTTTCTACCTGGATCCAATTTTAAATCTGAACTAACAATCTTCCTAAATTTGGTCACGTTGTCTCCCTGGTCTACCGGTGACCTTTTGGAACTCATCTTCAACCTGGAGCAAAGTAAATTAGAAATTATATCAAGGAAAATGTAATCTCCCAGCCACTGAAAACTCAAACTAACGCTCAATGTTGTTGGGTTATTCAAGGCCACCGA